CAACAAAGTGGTAAACTCTACATGCGGTTGAAAGAAAACGGTGGTGGGCTGGGTGTGGTGGCTCACACCTGTAATCCCAGCACTTCAGGAGGCCTAGGCCAGTGGATCACCTGAGGTCAGGAGTTCAAGACCAGCCTGACCAACATGGAGAAACCCCATCTCTATTAAAAATACAAAAATTAGCTGGGCATAGTGGTACATGCCTGTAATCTCAGCTTTTCGGGAGGCTGAGGCAGGAGAATGGCTTGAACCTGGGACGTAGAGGTTGCAGTGAGCCGAGATCCAGCCACTGCACTTCAGCCTGAGTGACAAGAGCGAAACTCCATCTAAAAAAAAAAAAAAAAAGACAGAAAACAGTGGCAACATTTGTTGAGAATGTTTAAGATCTTCTGACGGTCACAGAGCAGATAGCATGAGCTCTCCAGGGAAATAAGACTGGAGAAAACTGAAGTACAAAATATGCTGCAGGAAAAAAAAAACCTGTAGACAGAGAAGCTTTTGTGGAAAAGAGGAAGCGATCTTTAGGGCACAACTTGGATAATTATGGAAGCTAAACACAGGAATGGATGAGAGTGGAAACATACAATCAGATAAGGACAGCTGTTTCATCCCAGTTCCCTCTATCCTTCCTCAAGAAGTGGTTTTTCTCAATACAAGACAGGAATAAAAATTGGACAATTGAATTTCCATAGGTTCATTAAGTCCCAAGATCAGGGGATGAAGCTGAAAAAATGCAGAATCACTAAATATTGTGTAGTGCCAACTATCAAGGAAACATATATTAGCAAAAATACCGTTGGTCAAGGGTGATGTTTGCATGTTTTTAAAGATGTGAGGATATTTATCCAGAACATGTGAAATCTCAGGATCACAGAGTTTGGTAACTCATGAATTCTCTCTCGAACTGGCAGGCAGTGTGACATATAGCCCCCGCAGGACAGGACCTCTCTCTTCCCTTTGTCATTCTGCAAACCACACATCTCCAAGTCTACACTCATTGAAGACATTCTTTTCTGGTATTTATCAGTTAGTGCCGAGCCAAGAAATAGAAAACATTGTAGGTAAACTGAACAGAGAAAATTTCATCCAGGAGTTGGTATTAGTGGGCATGAAAGGTTACAGAAGAAAAAAGGGGTTGTAAAGGATGCCCAGTAATTAATAATGTCAGAAAAACCACACCACCCCTAGGGGTAGGAGAGTAAAAGAAAAATGGTGTTGCCCAGACTCCAAACTGCAGGTGAAAGGGAGGTTGTTCTTGCTGCAACTGAGCTGCGTAAGCAGGAATGGAAGCCATCGCTATGGACTCTTCCCTGCCAGGCTGCTGGGTGCTGCAGGCGCTGCTGCCATAATGACTGCAAGCGGCAATGTCAGCAGCAGAGAAACATGACTTCTGCCTCCTCCAGTCTCCCAGTCTCCCAGCAGTGCCTTCCTCTGTGGAGAACCAACAGGAGCCAGTTGCCACAAGGTTCTGGGGTGTGAAATACACAGACCTTGTGATTTAGCAATGAGGAGACATATTAGAACAAAACTAATCTGAAGCTACAAAATATGAGCCTTATCTGGCACCCCGTTATTGTAATCCAGAGTCTTGGTCTTAATTTTTCAGCCAGTCGGAGGCCATTTGCCTGACCTATTGAAGAGTTAATAGCTGGAAAGTTTGTTGCCTACAAGTATCAGAGCTAATAGCTTAAGAAGGTCAATACAGATGCAGATGGTACAAAAGGTTTTTAGAGTCTCTTTCAATCCAACAGACTTTTGGGGGATGAAAGGCCTTTCTAGTGAGTAAAGTTCAAGTTCCCCAAAGTAAACTGTCCCTAGGAACACACAGTGAGGATCAGTCCATGAGTTTCCTGGTTGATCTCACATATCCTGAGGTTATTTGCTCTGCTTCTCCATGCGGTTCTTCCACAATTTATGAAACACATCATTAAACCTATTGTGGGTGCCACAGGGCAACTGCTTTTCTCTCCAGAACAAGGTGGAGAAAATCTACATCATTTCATCATCCTAAGTAGCACCTGCTCTTGCAGGGAACTGAAACATCTCTCTTTGGTGTGGGACCTCCGATGCGACTGTGGCTTGCTGTCCTCACGTGTGTTGTTAACATGTGGGGCCAACTTACTAAGACGTGCAGGTACCTCAAGTGTGGGCAAGCACAACTTATGGACTGTGGAGAGGGTGAAGAAGAGGGGTGAGGACCTGGCCCAGTCCTCTGGGAGGCAGTTCTCCCTCTGGGATTTCTTTATGTGGAAGAGGAGTTGGAAACAATAACCACAGTGACCACCTGATAAGTGTATGGTCAGGTTCTTGGACATTGATTGATCCTCTAAATGTTTCCGTCTTTTAGAAAGATGTTCATCAGTTCGAAGACCAATCCCTAGAGAATCTCTGGGTAGTAACATCAGGCAGATGTTACTATCCTGGTGAGGACAGGAGCCCAAGGACTCTGTGTGCCTTGGGGATCAATTATACTTGCGCCACCCACCCCCTTAGATATAGATCCAGGATTTATTATTAAGAACATTAACAACATTATAATAATAGTCACTTTGATCTTACCATAAAACAATAAATTATGTTATGAAAAAGGAATAATCTTAACTGTGGGAAATCCCAACAGAACCAGAACCAGATTCTGAGGCACTCTTTGTTAACCCTTAGGGTGCATGAACATTCCTTGTAGGCAGAATCGGTTAGATGCAGTTTGATATTTTATGTTGAGAAAGATTGACATTCAGTGCTCGGAGGCTGTGATGTGTATTTTTCTCTATTAATTAATTTATTTCTTATGCAAATCCTGTATGTAGACACTGCATTTATCAAGTGGTCTTTAAATGAAAAATTATGACTGCAAGCCTAAGCCACTAGCTGAAGAATTCGCAAGTAGAAAATGCCAGAGCTGAGGTTGAGCTAGGTAGTCTAGTCCCAAAATAGAGCTTCTCCTCACTCCTAAATCGATGGATACATGCTAATTTTGAAAGATCCAAAGAGCAGTACTTCAGAATTAAACAAAACATCAATCTGCTCTAGTAAGATTCTGTTTGCTAGCAAGGTTGCAGAGAGAAGAGAATGCTAATACACTGTTGGTGGGGGTGTAAATTAGTTTAGCCATTGTGGAAATCAGTGTGGCAATTCCTGAAAGAGCTAAAAACAGAACTACCATGTGACCTAGCAATCCCATTACTGGGTATGTACCCAAAAGAAGAGAAATCATTCTGTCACAAAGACACGTGCACACATATGTTCATTGTGGCACTATTCACAGTAACAAAGACATGGAACCAACCAAAATGTCCATCAGTGGCAGATTGGATAAAGAAAATGTGGTACATATACACCATAGTATATTATGAAACCATAAAAATGAATAAAATCATGTCATTTCTAGGAACATGGATGGCACTGGAGACCATTATCCTATGCAAACTAATGCAGATACAGAAAGTCAAGTATGCATGTTCTCACTTACAAGTGGAAGCTAAATGATGAGAACAAATGGATAAATAGAGGAGAACAACAGACAGTGGGTCTAACTAAAGCAGGGAGGGTGGATAGAGAGAAAGAATCAGAAACAATCATATCGGGTACTAAGTTTGATAGCAGAGTGATAAAATAAGCTAAACAGCAAACTCCCGTGATACCAGTTGACCTATGTAACAAACCTGCAAATGTACCCTGAACCAAAAATAAAAAGTAAAAAAAAAAAAAAATCTGTTAGATGTGACATTGAATTTGTAGAACAGAGCACTGTAATTTTGGTGACTGGATTTTCATGGAACATTCTATTCTATGAAACCAAGCCAATGTTTGTGTGCTCAAGGATAAAGAATATCTGTTTGCAGAATGAATGCGTCAACAGAGAGAAAGGGCTTAGGAACGAGAATATGCTTAAGGCCCTCTTGGTTTTGAATTTACAGAAGCAGGAAGTTCCGAATTCAGGTGCTTGGAAGGTGTAATATTGACTTCAAACCCAGGAGATTTAAATTTTTTTCATTGTGATACACAAATGTAAAGGGTATCATCTTAAGCTTTTCTTGGTGTGCACCTACGTAGTATTAACCATATTCACATTGTTAATCTCCAGAAACTTTTTTTGTGTGTGTGAACCTGAAACTGTCTCATTAAACAAAAACTCCCACTATCTTTTTTCCTCTAGCCTCTGGAAGCCACCATTGTAACATCTCTTTCTGTGAATTTGTCTGCTGTGGATACCACACATAAGTGAATCATAGTATGTTTGTTTTTGTGACTGGATTATTTTATATAGCATAATGTACTCTAGTTCATCTATATTGAATTCTATACTCTGTGTCTGAATATTCTTTACTTCTAAGTCTGCATAAGATTCTATTCCATGAATACCTAGATTTGCTTCATCCATTCATCTGGGGATAAATGCTGGGTTGGCTCCCCACTGACTGATGTGAATAGAGTCCTTAGAGACACACGTATACGATACCTCTGCAAGATGCTGATTTCAGTTCTTCCAGCTATATCATGAGAGGAGAAATTCCTTGACCCTATGATATTTTCTATTTTAATTTGTGACACCTCATACTCTTCCATGGTGACTGCACTATTTTACGTTCCCACCAAGAGTGCACAAGAATTGCTACCTCTGCTCATCCTTGCTACACTGTTATTTTCAAATTTAGTTTGCTTGTTTGTCTGGTATACAATACCTATTTTATTGGGTATGAAAAATCTATGTTATTTGGACCTGAGATTTGAAAACATCAAAAAAAGAAAAAAAGCATTGAGATGAAATCTGAAGGTGTCTCACCTTTCTCATCCATTCTGCTGTCATGACCCACAGAGGAAAGTACAAGCTCCCCCACCATTTGGCCCATGCTGTTCTCCAGCCACAAAAGCTTCCCCGTTGTACCTACCATGTGCACCTGTTGGTTTCAGGTTCACCTGTCTACCTGATATCCCTCACAAGCCACTTGGTCTATGCTGGGTCAGGTTCCCTCATGCTTTTGCCTGGGCTTGTTCCACCTTTTGTTTTGTTTGTGAATCAAATGCTATGTGTACCTGAGCAGGACTTAGATATACTTCTCTATATTCCCAGCCTCATATCTCAGTGCCTTCACCCAGAACATTCTGTGCCTCCCCTGTGCTTCCCTGGAGCACTCTGCTCATGGCTGGGGAGAGGCAGAGGAATAGTCCCCATGAGCTGCTCTACCACTGGGACCCCGAAAACTGAGAAGCTGTGATCCTCCTAATTGGAAGAGAAACTAAAGAGGAGCTCCTGTTAGTGGATGTAGAGCTTGGTGAGTTGATATTAAGTTTCCCTGAAATTGTTTAAGTCTCGCCGTGCACTAGAAGATTAGGGGTTGGGTGGTTGGTGTAGCACCGTCCTCTTGCCACTGTTCTCTCTAGTGATGTGGAAAACCACTGAGTTTCTTCCACAGACATCACCATGCTCCTCACCCTCAACTGCCCACAGGGAATCCTGGCACCATGAGCATTCTTTTACACTGAACAAGACCATCACTAATTTAGCAGTTTGCTGATTCATAAGTTTTTCATTCATTTGTTACAAGATGGCTTGCTGATCTTCTCCGTTCCAGCCACTGTGCTAAGCCAGGATGAACAAACCCAGATACTGACCCTGTGATTCTGGAGCTAACAGTCAAGAAAAATTTGCAAAATGAAGTGATTGCACATTTATAATACAACAGCCTTGAGATTGCTGCAAATGAGAGGTGCATGGTTACAGCAGAGTCCATGGGGGGAGCATCGACCAAGTCACTGGGCTCAGGCAACAGTGCCCATGGGTGGAAAGAATGAACTAAAATGTTGATTCAACTGTGTAAAAAGAGGAAGCTGTGAAAAGTGTCAATGATGAAAACAACAACAACAACAACAACAACAACACCCTGTGTAGGTGTTAACTGTGGTAGGAATAATAAAATACAGGCAAACAATCTTCTCTGAGAGATACACATCCTCCCCAGTGGACTGTACAGATGGCAAGGTGAATGTCGAGCCGGAGCAAGGGTAAACGCTCATCCACAGATAGGGTGAATGTCTCACAGGCCTGTCTGCTGCAATAGAGGCCTGAGTCCTGAAACCTATGTAGACCCAGAGACCATGAGCTGGGTTCCCATTTCCATTTATGTCAGAGAGAAAGGGTGTATCTAGGTGTCCAGGTAGTTCTGCAGGTAGGTGATTTTGTGGATTTTGGTTGTGCTCGAAATTAGGAACTAGTGGCAAACCATGACATATATGACAAATGGGAAAGATAATGGCAGTTTACATTGATTGAGAACTATGATGTGCCCGAACTTGGTATATTTTAAAAATACACACACACCCATGAACACACTCATTTGATCACCTATCAACTCAGTGATGTAGGCACCATTAATAGCCTACTTTGACAAAGAAGGAAACTGGGGTTACATAAACTGAATAATTTTCCTAAGGTCCAGGAGCCCAAAAATGAGGATCTGAACCCTCATAGCCATGAGACTCACCATTAACCCTCCCCCTCCTTGGTGGCAGCAGGGCTGATTTAGGGACTCCCTCGTGGTCCTGTGTGATGAAAGAGATCCACTGTTGCCCTCAACTCGGACTTAACCAAACATGGCAATGTGTCTTTCATGACATAACCCACAAGATCCCCTACCTTCTTAAAGGTTTTCCTGGCTGGTTCTCAGCCCTGCTGCCTGTGAGAAACACCAGAGCAGTTTAAACAGTGCAGAAACCAGGGAGTCACCCCAATGCTACTGAATCAAAATTATCAGAGAGTGAAGCCTGTGGGGTTACTCTATTTTAAAAGCTCCAAGAGATCTGATTGTGTAGCTGAGAATGGAAAGCTCTGGTCTGGGCTGTGACTCCTCTCAAATGTACATTCATTTAAGAGAGAAATTCTGGTGATTACCTACTCACACCACGTGAAGGCACCGCAGTGGGAGGGCATGGGGGTATATACTGCTTTGTCTGGGGGCTTCCTTCACTTTCCATTAAAAATGGGATTGTCCCAGGCAGCACAGCTAGGTTTGAAGTGGAAAACTTGAGCCTAAGGGTTAAGAGGATGTGACCAGCCACCCTGTTCATCTGTCTCTTCCCTTCCATTATCTTCCCAGCCTAGAGTCCCAGAGCAAAGAACTCTCAATATGTCTCTGATGCATGACTGGCTCTGAACACTCCAAAAGCTTATTGAAAAAAGAGTTGGGTTATTTAATAATCAGATCAGCCCTAAGATAAGATGTGGGTGGCTGCACATCACAGAAAGCTTTCTTTTTATAGATAGACAATGTGAATCTGTGAATGTTGCTCATATATCTAACCTACCCCATAAACAAGACTCAGGTCTGGGAGTGAGGCAGGCTAGGGAACAGGTGCAGCAGTTGTTTGTCCCCAGGAAATTCTCCAAAGGTGGGATGTATTGAACTAGGTTTTAGGTACCTATGCTGTGAACATGGTGGTGATGGAAGGGGCTGAGGGGAAGGGTAGGCTTGTTTAGACTTGCTCAGGGTGCAGGTGAAATAAGTCTGGCTGGTTGTCAGACATGCAGAGGGACCAAAGCAGGGTCTCCTTATGTCCGTGCTCTCCCAGCAAAGGAAACTGAAAGGCTCTAGAACACAGCCTTCCAGTTTCCTTTGCTTGCTGAAGTCAGAATCCACCTATACCCCCACACTGCTACAAAGATAAAAAGAAATAATCAGCAAAAGCTCAGAAGGAAACTGAGAATCCCAGGAACATTTCCAGTTGTGCCTGAATGCTCACCTGGAGCACAGAGCAGAGTTCTTGCGGGGCTGCCATCCTGTGCTCCGCCCCACTTGGATGCAGAGATGCTTAAGGAGGTGACATTGATGGATGGCAGCAGCCTTGGCTTGGAAGGGTGGGCTGGGAGCCAGGCCTCCTGACCTACCAGGTGCCCCAGTGGGTAGGACCAGCCAGGCTCCCTAGGTACAAATAGCCCTGAGCTCCACGACTACCTAGGCTCCTGGAGTCTAATCCAAATCACTCATTGTGAAAGCTGAGCTCACAGCAGAATAAGCCACCATGAGGCTGACAGTGTGTCTCCTGCTGGTCATGCTGAGCCTTTGCTGCTACCAGGGTGAGTACATCAGTCATGAGTCCAGCACCAGCCTCTGGGAAGCACACCCCTATAAGCACGAGGTCACCTATTTGTGCTGGGGTTGAGATCTGCGCAAAACCAAATAGAATGCCAGATCCTTTTCTGTGCTTGTTGAAGAAGCCCCTTATAAATCTTAGAGCTCTTTATTCTAATCCCCAGCACCTAGGAAGTTTTATAGAAAAATCAGTGCAGCCAAATGTTCAGAATTCTTCTGCCTGAGCTTTACTTCTGGATGGTATCTGTGTCCGATGTAATGTGAGGTCTGGGGTGAATCTGGGATTCACCACTTCGCACCCCTCGATCTTGGGCACAATACTCACCCTCCCCAAGACTCCTCCTATCACTGGTGGTTAAAGCTTCTGCCAGGAGTAGCTATGAGAATGAAGTAAGGTTATGGCTGTCAAGGGTCAAGCTGTGGGACAGGCATGGTGGCTCATGCCTGTAATCTTAGCACTTTGGGAGGCCACAGTGGGCATATCACTTGAGCTTAGGAGTTCGACACCAGCCTGGGCAATGTGGCAAAACCCCATCTCTACCAAAAAAACAACAAAAAAAACAAGACAATGAGCTGGGCATGGTGACATGCACCTGTAGTCTCAGCTACTTTGGGGGCTGACGGGGGATTGCTGGAGCCCAGGACATTGAGGCTGCAATGAGCTAAGATTGTGCTACTACATTCCAGTCTGGATGACAAAGTGAGACCCTGTCTCCAAAAAAAAAAAAAAAAAAAAAAAGAGTGTAGCTGAGGATAAGAAGCTTTTCCCTTTGTTGTGTGACCTTGAGAAAGTCACACCTGGAGTATCTGGCAGTGTCATCAGCACAATCAGGGACATAGAATCCAGGGGATCCTGTCTGGTTTAATATCAGGAAGCCACGAGAGAGAAATCGACTTTCCTAACATCAACCATATTTTTATTTTTGTGCTGCAGCCAATGCTATAGTCTGCCCAGCTGTTATTTCTGATATCACAAGCTTCTTATTCTTAAATGACAATTTAGTAAAGCTGGAAGTTGGCAAATATAATCCACCTCCGGAAGCTGTTGCAGCCAAGTTGAAAATAAAGAAATGCACGGATCAGATATCTCCTGGGAAGCGAGTGCTCCTTGAAGGAGTCCTGGTAATTTATTTCTTCTTTATACAGAGGCAGAATTCAACTCACCTACACCCCCGAGTGTGCTGAGAACATGGGGAGTGAACTGGGGCCCAGGCAGGGGTGGTGAAGGGCCAAGCATGGCCGCATCTTTGCTGGGAGCTTTCCTGAGGCCCACCTGCCCTCAGGCAGTGGGCACAGTCACTGTGGAATGTCCTAGGGAGTGTGGGAGCCTTGAACAGGGAGAGAAGGCTGTGGGGTACCTAGGACTGGGCCTCCCACAGACAGGGTGCTGGGGTGAACTGGGATCCTCTACAGCCTCTTCAGAGCCAGGAGCCCCTCCTATCTCCTCAGGCTCCACTATCCACTCCTCATCCATAAGCTCTCCTGACCACGGCCAGTGGATCAAGACTTTTTCACTGCTTTACTTCTTGCAGTGCCATGGAGTAGGATGTTCTCACCAAGTCTTTCTCAAGAAATCATAGAATTACAGGGCCCTCTGAGCCTGGCTGACTCTGGGTTACTGTCCTGAGGTTTGGCTGCAAATACCCATAAAAACTGCAGGCTCAGGGCTGAGAAATGCCTTGGCTCTTAAGCAGAATTCTTTCATGGGAAGGGTGGAGTCTCCTGGAAGGTGTGTTTCCCAGCGGCCTTCCCTGCCCTGCCCTGCCTAGCTTCAGAGCCCCGGGTCCCCCATTAGAAGTATCAGGAGACTCCACAGTCCTGGGACAGCTCAGACAATAACCTATGGCTGCACTGTCAACCCCTCCCCACCCACTCCATGAAAATCCTGTGCCTAACTCCTGGGTCTTCCGAGGGCTATTGGCCTGGTGGGGGAAAGGCTGCTTTCTCACTAGAATGAATGTTGTAAGGCCACCAGTTCTACGCCTCAGTTTCCCAAACTGAGTTCTTGCCTCTGCCTTTCCAAGGGCCATTGGGACAAAATCCCATTGGCCTCTTTTATGTTAGCCTGTCATCATCAGCAGCAGCATGACTGACCCCACCTTCCTTCCTTTCTTTCTTTTTTTTCTATTTCAGGCGAGCATAGTGATAGAATGTGGCATATAAAAATACTCAACCTGGTTTCCACGATCTTTCAATGATACCCTGATCTTCACTAAAAAATGTAAAGGTTTCAACATCTTGCTTTAATAAATCACTTGCCCTGCACATCTCCACTGGTCTTGTTATGATTTTGCAGTCTTGGGCCTTGAGTTGAGGGTGGTTTCCATAGGGGAGCGGGCTTTTGCTGTGGCTGATAATCAACTCTAGATTACCAGCATTCTATTACCAATCGGGCCTGAGTGCAGGCATCCCAGAAGGGAATATTTGGCAGAAATCATCCTGCATTCCTTACAGATTTCCCATCCTGAAGCCGTGAATGAAAACCATGGTAACGGGAAAGCAGGAGTTATAATGTTCCTGCTGATCTTGGACTGAGGGGTCCCCCAGCCTGCCTGGGTGCCCAGGCACATGGTGCCCACCAGCAGCAGCCCTAATGTAATGTTCCCTGAGACCCACAGACAGCCTGCTTGGTGCCATCTCTGCATGGTGGTTTCTCTTCTCCATTATGCTCAGTATACTTTGTTTTACATTTATCACAATTTGAGGACATCTCCAGGTTTCAACCTGGAATTCAGATGGTTTTACTCCCCACACTCAGAGCACTCCTCAGTGTCTGCATCACTCACCAACACCTGAGGCAAATGCTTCCTTCCTCAAGCTCTACCAGAGGCTCCAGAGATCAGCACCCTGGTAACTGGACAGCTCCCAGTGAGCGCTCTACAGTCATTTCAGGAGCAGGATGTAAAACCGAGCACAGGGTCTTCCTCCGGCCTGCTCTCCATTCCATGCGTCCACCCAGGCTAATGCAGGAGCCCAGCAAGTCCCCTTACCAGGACCCAAGGAGACGCCACAGGTTCCTGGCTTGGTGTCCTGTGGCTGCTGGAAGAAACCTTTGAAAGCTAGGTGTCTTAAAACAACTGATTCTCTTGCACCCCTGTGGCCAGAAGCCCAACACTGGTATCACTGTGGGGAGGTCAGGGGTCAGCAGGGCTCTATTCTTTCTGGGGGCTCTCAGGGGGAGTTCACTAAGTGCTGCTTCCGGCTACTGGGCTGCTGATTATCCTGGTTCTGTGGCCACATCACTCCAACCTCTGCCTCCATGATATATTCCCGTCTCCTTTCCCTTCCATGTCAACCGCCCTCTGACTTTTAATTACATAATGCAGGGGTTGAGGTTAGGAAGCACCAGATTATTTAGAATAATGTCCCCATCTCAAAAGCCTTAACTGAATCATGTCTACACAATGCTTTTTCATCTTGTAATGGAACAGTCACAGATTCCAGGTATTCGAATGTGGATTTCTTTTAGGAGATAGAGGCATAAATCAGCCAACTATGGCTCCCTCCCTCCTGACTCCTCACCATACACCAAGTTCTATTGACTCCACAGCCAAAGCGTCACATCCGCGAGTCCCTTCTTTCCCATCACACAACCACCTAACAGTCTTGTCCGAGTTTTTAAAAACTCAACTCAGATTAAAGTCTCCTAAATTGTCTCCCAGCCTCTATGAACCTTTCCTGTGATAAATCCTTCCTATTCATGCCAAAGTGAGTCTCCCCAAACTGAAACATGATCCCATCCTCTTTCAAGAATCCTAAATGGCCAGAGGGCACATGTTCTCCAGGGTTTCAAGTAAGGGAAGTTGTATTTTTTACCCTAAACTCATATTTACATAATAATATTTATTATTATACAACTGCAAAAAGAGTAGATAACAGTAGTTATTATTAAACATTGTTTTTAAAAGAAATTTGTATTTTAATAACACCAGAAAAATGTACACTTAAAAAAATAGAACCTAAGTGTGTGAAACTCATGACCAGTTGAGTCTACACATTGTTCATGGACAGATACAAGGGTTCACAGAGCTCAGGCTATAATCTGAGAAACCCAGAGAGGAACCACTGCTGGAGGAACACATCCAAAGTCTTTTGTTCCACACAAAGACTTCCACGACTCTGCTCCTGGGAGCCCTGTCTCCTCATCTTCTCTTTTCCTGGTTGCTCTGTCCTTAGTCATAGTTGTTTATATCTCATTTCTTATGCATCACATGAGTCACATCCTTGCCCCAGGGCATACAGGGTTTCCTTTGCCTTTACAGTCTTACTTACCTAAGACATTTGGCCACCCCATCCATAGAAAGCACTTCACATGTCTCCTTCTCTGTGAAGCCCTCTTGGATTCCCAAATTACATTACATCTTTATACACACATGCACCCATATACATAGACATCCTTCTTTATCATCCATTTATTTTTCCTGTGAGATAAGATGTATGTCATAGCATTGTTGTGAGAACACATTATATAAATTAATACTATAAAGCATTTAACACATTTTAGAAATTATTACTCTAATACAGTTAATGAAAATTTCTATTTATTGAACACCCTAGTAGGCATTTTCCTGGAACATTTTTTATTTCTTTTTTAGTCCTCTCTAGTACCCCAGAAGGTCCAAAATTGTTTCCACTAATGAACATGAGAATGAGAAATGCCTTGCCCAGGACCCCTTAATCCTGACTCTGTTTTGGAATCCACTGGGAAGCTGTCAAAAGCGGGTGATGCCAAGGCTCTATATGGAACACATGAATCTGTGTGTACGTAGAGCCCATGCAGTCCCCATTCTCTCACCTCTCTTTTCTATAGGTGCAGTCATCCAGTGACCTGGGGAAGCAGTAGCTGGTACAGGAATCCCCCATGATACTCACAAGCCTCCTGACCTCACCAGGGCTGTCGCTTAGGGCTTCTGTCTTAGCTACTTCCATAGCCTTTGAATCCTGGGTGTTCGTCATTTTCACCATTTGAAGCTAATCACATTTATGTCAAGTACAATAACACTTTCCTTCTGGAGATGCTATTAAAACAGTGTGAAGTGGGATCCAGCAAGACTGCTCAGGCTGGGACAGGGAGAAGAGGGCATTGAGAGTCATTGTTGAGGAGTACAGAGCTTCTGTTTGGAATGAGACAACATCAAGCATGCACTGAAAATTATTTAGAACATGGAAATCCACTCATTTCCCATACCAAAAGATATTTTGTTAGTATTTTTGAAACATCATCTTAAAGAAAAGATCTTTCTGGAAAAAAGCACAAGACACATTTAAGGATGGGGAATAATAATGGAACCAACTCAAGAACAGGAAGTCAGAGGAGCAACAACTCAAAATTTAGAGGATCCTATTCTGTAATTCTACACAGATGTGAATCTACACCTGGCCTACTGTTGTTCAGACACACAGACAGGATACAGAGAGTTTTTGGCATGCAAGTCCTTGAACATTTTTATCACCAATGAAATTCTTCTCAGAAAGGTATGGAAGGCTTTGTTCCACCAGAAAGTAGTAGAACAAGCAAGAGGTTTCCTGACAATGATGCCAAGCAATTGCAACAAAAGCAATTGGGAACTAATTAAACTAAAGAGCAAAATAAACTATCAACAGACCAAAAAGACAACCTACAGAATGGGAGAAAATTTTTGCAAACTATGCATCTGATGAAAGTCTAATATCCAGCACCTGTGAGGAATTTAATCAAATTTACACACACATAAAAATAAACAAAAATGTCCGCAAAGATATGAAAAGACATTTCCAAAGAAGATATACATGTGGCCAACAAACATATGAAAAAAAACTCAACATCAATGGTCATTAGAGATATGCAAATAAAAACCACAGCGAGATACCAGGCAGAATGGCTATAACTAAAAAGTCAAAACAACAGATGGGGAGGTTGTGGAGGAAAAGGAATGCTTAGGAGTGTAAATTAGTTCAACCATTGTGGAAGACACTATGCATGCATATGTTCATTTCAGCACTATTCACAATAGCAACAGCATGGAATCAACCTAAACACCCATGAATGATAGACTGGATAAAGAAAATGTGGCACATATGCACCAGAGAATACTATGTAGCTATAAACAAAGAATGAGATCATGTCTTTTGCAGAGACATAGATGGAGCTGCAGACCATTACCCTTAGCAAACTAATGTAGGAAAAGAAAACCAGTTACCTCATGTTCTCACTTATAAGTGGAAGCTAGTTAATGAGCACACATGGACACTTAGAGGAGAACAACAGACACTGTGGCCTACTGGAGGGTAGAAGATGAGAAGAGAGAGAGGATCAGAAAAAGTAACCAATGGGTAGTATGCTTAGTACCTGGGTGATGAAATAATCAGCCCAACAACCCCCATGACACATGTTTACTTATGTAACAAACCTGCACATTCTGTACATGTCCCTCTGAAATTAAAAGTTAGAAAACGAATGAATTTCCTTAAAGAATTAATTAGCTAGTTGAATGGGGAGGCAAGATGTAGAACTGAAGAAGGGCACAATGTATCTCACTGCTATGAGATCTTACTAAAGAAAATATAAAAGCTTCTGTAGTTGAAGGAACTACAAAGGAAGGCTTGTGGAAGAGGTGATGGCTGAGTTGGACCATGAAGCGTCTAGATGAGGATGACAGGCAGGTGAAGTAAGGCCTCCAGGTGCATGGAGCAGCCTGGGTAAAGGCATGGATGTGAGCCATGTCTGACCCAAGCCGCCTGGAGAACAAAGATGACCACACTCTTGATGGCATCTTGAATGTGGGCAGATATTTCTGTAGCACAGGATTTCTCAATCTTAGTTACATCAAGAGTGAGTAAACCTTCTTTTGGGGTCTAACCTGTTGTGAACTGAACGCGAGCCTGGGAATCTCGTCCAGCGAGAGGGTCCCAAACCTGGAAGAGAGCGTGTGTGGAAAAAAAAGGAGAAAGAAACGAGTGGGGTCTGGAGGACTGGATGGGCTATGCCCATGCGGCAATTTTATTTTGCAGTAGGTTCCATTATATACTTTTCTACTTAATGTTGTTTAGGTCAGATCAAAGCATTTCTCAAATAACAAAAGAAACAGAAAACAATTCTGGGGAACTAGTAAAAGGAACAGATACTGAAGTTAAGTCACAAGGTAAGTAAGTTACACCCAGTAAATACTTAACAATTGTAAATACTGAAGTGAATATTTTACAACTAATGTAGCAAGGATCCAAAAATGAACACAATGAAGCAATAAACCATAAGGAACCAAAAATGGACACAATGCCTCCCACGTCC